TCAACCTGCAAAGGGACTATGAGGGGACAGGTAATGACTGGAGGGAATTTGGTGCAAAGGGGCATGCATGCAACTGTAAGTGGTCAGTGAAAGGGGTAATTACCATGTAAGATAGTACAAAAGACCTTGCCTTTTCTTTGGGGAGTGGCAGAAACTTTTCCTGAGTATCCTGGAGATTTTTGCCCTGGAATGCATTCCTGAGTAAAGCTGGCTGCTTAAGAAGGGTGCCTGGAATTGATTTGGTCGGGGTTTTGGGCCCCTATCCGAACCCTCGGATTAAATTCTCCGTCAGCCGAATAGTTTGCTCTGCGAAGCTGTAAGTGGTGGAAGAGTGGATCTTTTTGCCAAATAGGTCTAGTTTCTTGTGCTCTTTATCAGGAAGTGTGCCCTTGGTCTGAGGGGCTTTAGAGCCTTGATTAGCTGCATCCACGAGTAGGGAGTTCGGTTGTGGACGAGAGAAGAGACATTCTAGACCCTTGGGGGAACAAAGTATTTGCGCTCCGCCTTTTTGCACGTTGGTTGGATGGAAGCAGGTACCTCCATGATCGCCTGGTCAATCGGCCCTGGGCAGCTGGGCGTGTGTTCTTTAAAAGGCGATGTTGCTTTTCCTTTAATTCTTGGAGCTGGACCTCCTGAGAGGTGGCCACCCTTTGGAAAAGCTGTTGAAATTGTGTTAAACCATCAGAGGCATGCCTGTCCTCTGCAATTCCAGCTGAGGATGAATTGTTGCCTGGCGAGTGATGAGGCACCTGCATCCTCCCAGACCTGACCTTCCTCCTCCTCAGAGTCAATCGTGGTGGGAATAGTGTGAGATGGTGAGGGTGGAGGAGCCCCTTTGAGGAGGTTGCCGTTTCTATGGGGTGCTCACTGCTCCCATGGAGCCCAACGGGGCGGGTAGTGCCATTCGGGATACCACGGCGTGTGGCCTGCTCTGCCGTAGTAGTGGTAGGACTGTCGAGATGCAGTTGGGGGAGGGTTGTGAAGAGAAGACACTCCTCTAGTCGTAAAAATGAAGCCCCTCATGCGGTGATGGAGACCTGGCACAGCCCCGGCATAAGTGAGGGGAAGGGAATGTAACGTTACATCACTGGTCCCCGTGTTGTGAAATTGGGGTTACTGGTGGCGAGGTCAGTATGGTGCAGGCACCCCGATGGCTGCCCCCGTGCCAGCCTCTGAGGCACTAGAGCTGTGTGAGGATGACGGCCTGTCATCGGGCGGTGCCGGAGTCTTACGGGACTGCTTGGCAGGTGGGTCCCCGCTCCTTCCCAGCGCCGTGCTTACATGCGCTGTTGGTGGCGGTGCCGACGTGTGGCGGCGGGGCGGTGTTTCTGGCGCCGAGAGCAAGCGTGCTGGCCCCACTGTTCTGGGGGTCGTGGTCGCTGTGCCTGTGGTGGGTGCTGGCACCGCAGCCATAGAGGGGCTTGGCACAGCGTAAGAGGCAATGACCTCGAGGGGGAAGGCTTCCTACCCCCCTTTTACTGGGGCTAGCAGGCACCTGTGTCTCAGGGTCCCCAGAGTGGATAGACTGAGCTTGCTGTAGGCAGCCTGTGCGGGGGCGAGGCCTGTCCCAAGCAGGCATGGGCTGCTCACATCGCTGACACTTCTCAGAGGAGACAGCAGCTCCGGGCTGATGAGGGGAGCATGCTCTGTGCCTGGCTTCTCCTCGCCCTTTTAGGGGGGAGGGAGCGGAGGGGAGCCGGCGGCGGAGAGGCGGAGCTGCTGCTTATGAAGTGGTCCCAATGCACAAGCGGCCTCCTGGGCGCGGCTCCCGCACCCGCGGCTCTGAAAGGGGCAGCGTGTTTCTGTCTGCATGGGATGCCGGTGCAGATTTCAAAATGGCCACCCTTAAAAGGACAATGTCTGCTCTGGGCTGTGGCCCTGCTCTTGTGGATAAGCGGTGGATGTGGTATACCTAGACTTTAGTAAGGCGTTTGATACGGTCTCGCATGATATTCTTATCTATAAACTAGGCAAATACAATTTAGATGGGGCTCCTGTAAGGTGGGTGCATAACTGGCTGGATTAAGTACTCAGAGTATGTCTACACTACAAAGTTAATTCGAACTAACGGACGTTAGTTCGAATTAACTTTGATAGGCACTACACTAGCGCTCCGCTAGTTCGAACTTAATTCGAACTAGCGGAGCGCTTAGTTCGAACTAGGTAACCCTCATTTTACGAGGAATAAGCCTAGTTCGAACTTACTAGTTGGAATTAAGGGGTGTGTAGCCACTGGTGCCCTGGCCCTGTGCCAACTCCTCGCTTGGCCTGAGGGGGCCGGTTTTGAGACGCCCCCGGCTGGCACTCTGAGAATGAGGCTGCCCATGCTCCTGGCTGCCTGGCTCGGACCGCGTTTCTGCCAAAAGCTGCTTGCCAGAGCAACGGGAGGAGAGCCAGGCTAGCTGGGCTCAGGGGTGTACCCACTTAATTCGAACTAGTGGGAGGCTAGCCCTCCCCAGGTTCCCCTGTGGGCCACTCTGGCCAACACCAGGGAAACTCTATTGCCCCCCTCCCGGCCCGGGACCCCTTAAAGGGACACGGGCTGGCTACGGTGCCCATGCCAGGTGTAAGCCTGCCAGCACCCAGCCAGCAGGAGCAGGTTTGCATGAAAATCAAGGGGGTCCACTGAGACCCCAGACCCTGAGCCCTGAGCTTACAAGGGCCGTCCTGGGTCAGACCAAAGGTCCATCTAGTCCAGTAGCGGCCAATCCTAGGGACCCTGGGGGGGATGGACCAAAGACAGTGACCAAGCCATTTGTCTCGTGCCATCCCTCTCCAGCCTTCCACAAACCTTGGGCAGGGACACCACTCCTACCCCCTGGTAATACCACTCCATGGACCAAACCTCCATGCCTTGATCTAACTTCTCTTTAAACTCTGTTCTAGTTGTAGCCTTCACAGCCTCCTGCAGCAAGGAGTTCCACTCGTTGACTATTTGCTTTGTGAAGAACAACTTTCTGTTACTAGTCTGAAGCCTGCTACCCATTCATTTCATTTGGTGTCCCCTAGTCCTTCTATTATGGGAACTAATGAAGAACTTTTCTGTATGCACCCTCTCCACCCCACTCATGCTTTTATAGACCTTGATCATATCCCCCCCTCCGTCTCCTCTTTTCTAAGCTGAAAAGTCCCAGTCTCTTTAGCCTCTCTTCATATGGGACCTGTTCCAAACCCCTCATCATTGTAGTTGCCCTCCCCTCTCCCCTCTCCCACCCTCTCTCTTCCCCTCTCCCACCTCCTTTTCCCAGTCTCCCCCAGTTTTGTTCAATAAAGAGAGATTCTATTTTTGAACACAATTGTCCTTTATTTTGTACATCAGGAAGGGGGGCTAGGGAGGGGTAAGTGGAAGGAGGTGAGG